ACTTGAAAGAGAAAAACACAAATATGTCTAGAAAGCATTTAAGATTCCACTGAAAATGTATTATTTAGGACCATTCGATCTAAGTTATACGAAGTCAGTCTATCATCATTTTACTGACAAATCGATTAAAATTAATATGAGCAAACATAAGTAATAGAAAACATATGGTTTTCCCTATTTATCAATAGTAATCGAGACATCTCCAAGGACAATCGCTTCGATTGTATTAATTCCCAGACGAGCGGCCCCTTCAATGGATTATTAATTCCTCAATATTGCATTATTCGTGTGACTCTGGTTTCCGGAATCGAGAAATCGAAGTTAAAAACTACACGAAACGCAGACAAGAGGCGACATTCTATAGGAAAATTGCGATTGCGTACATGTACTAACATTACTAGGCCTGTTATGATTTTATAAAAGTTTTTGCCAGATAATGGAGGAATAAGTTTAGTTTACTTTGTTCATGTTCGGATTAAAAAAAATACCTACAATTCTAGGTAGATATGCTATTTCTCTATTACACCTCATTGCTACCTTTTTAGAGACGTATTTTTAGTATTTGTAATGTATTTTATTTTTTTCATTTTTTTTCTTTTAGGTTTTATTATATTTCTATTCGAAGTACGCTTAATATTTATCTTTTAATATAATCTAATATAAATATAATAGTTAATATAATATATTGAAATATATTTTGATATATGATATTAATAGGCCTATAATAATAGTAATATTTGTAATAATATTTTATTTGAAAAAAAAACCACGCCTTTCCATCGGCGGCACACGTGACGGTAATTTTTTTATGAAAAAAAAAATTAAAAACAAATTATATAAATAATAAAAAGACAATGTACAAGACATGAAATTAATAAGGATTTATAAACATATGTATAAAAATGTACATATTAGGCATAGTTTTACCATTTAAAATATCATTTACCTGTTTTGTTTTTTCCTCTTTTTTTTTTGCTATTTTGAGTAAGGTATAAAATACAATTTCGTTCATACATTTTTTTGAGTCTCAAAATAAATGTTTTTGTTCTAATTAATACGGTAGGTTTTACAATTTATAATATCACTGTTTGCATGCAATTTAAAGTTTGAGATACAAAGATCGTTCATAAATTTGTCAGTCTTCAACAAGTATATCCATCTTAGTGTTACAATCTCCACTCATGAATAAGTGCCATATACTATAATCATACTATAATCAGAATGGGATATGATTTTGTTTTCAGCAGTGATGTATTCATCAGATCTTATTATGTTAACATAAAATGTATAGCTTCTTTTTTTCATGGCATAGAGGGCAGCACTTTTTTACAGGCGAGTCATATTTACACACTTTGGCGTTTCGTTGGAGCGTATTGGATCTTGCTTTGAACTGCTTCCATAGAAATCAGATTCATTTTTAAAATAATCCTCCGTTTTGGGGAATTCTTTTATTCTAATGTAACGGTTAAGGGATGATTTACTGACTGCAATACTAATCCAGTTAACATTGCGCAGATCATTGTTTTTATGTTTAAATATATTAACCCATGTATCGTTTATTATCTGTGGTATGGGCAAAGAATTCATGCATCACTGTTAATCAATGAATGATTTCTCACCGTAGCACAAAAATGTGTATCTCATGCTAAGTACATTGAAGAGGTAAATAATCTAACGTGTTCATATGGTAGATATTGTCAATGATTTTCCAAAAACCGGCTCTTATACCAGTATATAGGATGGTTCTCAATCCATTTCTCCATACTGTATCAAACGCCTTACGGAAATTCAGGAAGGCAAGGTAAGTGACCTTTTTTGTGTTAGTCTAAATATTACATATAGATTTTGAAGTCAAGATATGGTCCTCGCAACGGTGATTGCTCCTAAATCGTCCTTGGGTTTCGGTAGGAAATCAGAAATTTTAGTTGCAATTATGCTATCGAATAATATTTTTGCTGTACATGAAATTGACATAATTCCTTTATAATTGTATAATGGACATGAGGATATGACATGGTATGATATGATACATGGTAGTGATGGTAGTGACATGGGATGGTGATATGATATAATATATGATATAATATACCGTAATAATCCTTTATAATTAGATATCTGTACTTGAAATAGTGGGGGAGGGTTGGCTGATTAGATGCAAAGGAAAGTTGGTGGGCTGTCTCTTATACACAGATGATTATGTGAGTGAGTGCTGCTCACAAAATAAGGTGATTTGAGGTGATTTTTAACAACTTGACCATGATTTTTTTTTTTTTTTTGGGAAGGGGTATATTTTTAAGAGTGTGTGCGCCCCCTCCCGCGCACCCAGTTAAGATGCTCGTCATCTAACCCAGGGTTCTGGGTTAAAAAAGCATGTGAAACTTACCATGAAAACAAAACCAATATCCAACCATTCACAGTATCATTTTAACTGGAAAATGTACTGTAACTTACTTTTGGATGTCAATAAATCCTACTTTATAAAGACAAAACACAATACAAAAGGACCTCAGTACTCAAAATAGAAAGTCTACAATGACGCCAATTACCCACAATGAAACAATAAACACTTCCAATAGATTACATGTTTAATATGTTTATTTATATACATATTCAATCTATTAATATATATATTTATATCATTTTATCTTTCGTTTCCCTTTAAGATTTCGGTTTTGGTGACCTCGTTAAAAGTGCGGATAAAGAAATATGATAGAACGAATTACAATATTGGTTTCTTGTGACTACAAAGTTCCCCGATTAATGATGGCGAAAAAGGAAATGATAACCTAGTCAATATGTAGTTGAGTATCCGGATATCTTCATAAATGGAAAGGCTTACACAAAGGGAACATTTAGGGATATGCCTGATAATATATTGATTACTGAAATATAAAAATATGTTCTTAGGTGCTAAATCGTTGCTACGAATGTAACCGTGCGCTTTTGCTACGTCATTAATATTACGGCACTTATCGCCAAATAGATACATAACTCTATATAGAAATGGTAATGAAAAACAGGCCCCTTTCTTTAATAATGTCTCTTCTCAGCGCACACGAACCTATACAATATTACACGTGTACTTTTTATCTCTCTTTATGTTTCACATTATTTTATATGATATGGCCTACTATCAATGTTGGAACACAGTGGTTGGAAGAACTTGTCGGATTAAGTTACATTACACCGCAGGAACTATCAGTCTAACTAACGTAGGCCTACACTCTAAATCTGTTTATACAACTGAGCTTCATATTGACAACTCAAGTGATGGCACGGGGGCGTGTGCCGCATTCAAAACCTATAGTCTGTTCTGGATTTGCAATAGATGAGCGTCTGTCGGAAGAAGAATCTAGCGTTTTGGTCCCCAGAGTACATTTCTAACAACTACTCGGCAAGGGTGGTAGATACTTGTATTTCATGGTGCTGGCCATGTCCGATTAGTCTGACCTATTGTAGGTGCACCAGACATTGATCACTGTGCGCTTAATCTATGAAAAGTCGGTTTAAAATAAACACGAACATTTTAGGAGGTTGTTGCCTCAACAAGCTGTGATCGCTATCAAGATATTTACATCGGAACCATGAGACATTAGCATGATGAAGAAGCCTGTTAAAGATATCCTCTGCTCCAGAAATTTCCCGACAGTCCAATAAGTCCGACACCGGGGATCCCAAGGGGTGAGGAAAGGCCACCTAGAACCTTGGTCAGGTTGACGGAATAAGTCCCTGGTGCGATTTATGGGGAGCGATATATTTTTTGGTTTAGCAATATCGGTATATTATTATTTTTAGGGCGATGACCTCGTCGTGGGGTCGGACGATTGGGTGTGCTTGTCGGACTGAAAGTTGAGGGCAATGGTGCCGTCACTGCATCCATGTAGTACATAAGGGGGCCATCCATAATTATCAACATTTTCAAAAGAGTACAAAACATGTAGGCATAAGTACTCTTTTATGAAAAAGATAAAATGTTGATCTCAAAATTACACAAATCAACATTTGTGTGTGTACTCTTTTTGTTTAACAGAAAAGAGTATGTTTTTTACTCTTTGAAAATGTTGAAAATTATGGACGACCCATAAACATATAGTGTGTTTATACGTCCACACCATGCTTCCCATTGTATTTAGGTCTATTACTATTAAATAAAGATAACATGTTCAAGTTCAACTTTATTGATCTACGGAGGCCCAGATCAACAAAGGGTTGTTCTGCCTTGGGGCCGTTCAAACAAGCATGAATAGGCCTAAGGTGGATGATAATGTTTCGTGGCTTACTGAACACAAATACAGTAATTGAAGGTCTTTTATCCCTAACCACATCGCTTCTTTCCTATTATGACACATTCGTATAGGCCTATCATAACAATCAGAGCATTCGATTCGGGGAATGAAGGAAACGTGACCGTCAGATTTATTAGTCCGTGACCGTCCTGTGTTCTCTAAAACGCAGTGGCATAACGCTCTGCGCTCATGCGGCAGTCCGAATGACCCTGACCCACCACGAAGGGCCCTTACGATCTATAATGGTGAGGGGAAACCCATAAGACCATGTCCGATCGAAGATGGTCACCAAAACAACATGAGCGAACTAATCTTAACCCGATTCCCATTAGGAAAAGTGGACAAAATGGCGACCTAACGAGGTACACACAACTTCATTATGATAGGAAACATTTTTACCAGTGTATGACAATTACAGTTTACTTAGAAATCATTATTATCGTAAATTTTTTTGCCAAGAAATGATATTGTGAGTGATTATTTTTTTTGCGTGATTTTACATACAGCAACGCTGCGATTTAGAAACCTGCCTTATTGTTATAGTACACTTCTTTGATCAAAGCAAAACGGTCAGCATTCAGTAAATAATATCTACGAACCGTGTAAACGATAATACAAAAATCTACGAATAACACCAAAAGTCAATAATAAAAATAAATATCAAAATACATTTCGTAAGCAGCGGAATATCAATTGTATACCACTGATATCTGTTAGGATGTGCTACGCCAGACTTATGGGATATTTCCAGAGTGTCAATAAACCTTAACAACTGGCCAATCAGAAAGTGCTATTTAATATACATGAATACACAACTGGCGTCCCACAGAAACACCAAGTTCGTGTACCTTTACGTTTCCCCACAGCAACAATATCCAAGGGTGGGGTCTAGTGAAAAGGTCCACTCAACGTGTCACCTATAATGCCTTTAACATCAATGTGTCTTGACCATGGATGTATTCTCCATGGTCTTGACCAATCCGGAGACCAGAATCACGTAGGCCTAAATTATAGTTTTTACACCATCAGCATGTGTGCGAATCACTCAACCTGTACGTCTCCATGGTCAGGTGTAGAACTTCCTTAACACCTTCAAGCGTTCGTTCTTGTTTTTCTTCCATCGACTTGAACCGTGTTTGAACCTTCTTTGCCGCTTCCAGATGTTCTGCAAATTTAGTCTGCATTGCATCAAGTCTAGATACATTTTAAATATAATTAAATTAAAAAGGAAACATTAATAATTGACAGTCATTATACATGTATAGTATACAATGGCCGTTCTGCAAATCTAGTCCGCATTGCATCAAGTCTAGATACATTTTAAATATAATTAAATTAAAAAGGAAACATTAATATTTGACAGTCATTATATACATAGTATACAATGGCCGTAATTGATTTCAAATTGATCAGTATTTTTAGGCCTGTCTCTAGCATCTAGCAATTATGTTTTCACTATAATTGATGAACACTAATATTATTTTAATATACCCGATTTAATTAAATTAGGTCATTATTTGGGAAAGATTATAGGCTATTGCAGCTAGGTGAGAACGGACCGCAGTGCATGAATTAATGCCAGACCCTTTACACTGTACACTGAAGCGTCAAAGGACGCCGTAGTCTGGGAGCCGCCAATTTCCCACTGAGGTCTAGGGCCCTTGTGTGGAGCAGGGGAACAGACTGGAAGGTCCGACTTTATGGATTTTCACGAGCTGTAGTCTGAATTTAAAGAATGAAAATTTTAGTAAACGTTACTGATTCACGTATTAGGAAAATACATCGTAATAAGTGCCTCTTATTTCCTTTCCACACCTCCCCTATCGGCCTAGGCTAGTAATCATAGTTGGAACAAATTTGAAAAATAAATAAAGAAAATTGGTGGCACGTAAAATTAAACGATTCAAATGAACAGAGTAATCAATAATTACCCCCCCCCCCCTCCACTAAAACCTAGAATAAGGGAACCCACTGGTCGTTTAATTTTTAATAGGGAAGGGAACCTTCAAAACCCGGGCCTCGGGTTATATGTCCTTGATTGGCATTTTGTTCATCCCCATCCTGCAGAAAGGTTCTGAATATGTCTCATTGTTTGTTTTTATTGTGACATTTTTAGCTGACATAAATCTATGCTAACATGATCTGATGTTAGCCCTGTAGGAATGCATACCTTTCCTCTAATCTATGAACGGTTCTTTCCTGGGACGATTGGTCTCTTAACACGTTTTGTCGAAGATAGTTCTCAACGCAGCCTTCTTCAAAGCTGTAGAGAACAGACTGTGTACTGTCTGTCAGGTGCAACTCTGGTGGTAAAATCGGAAATATAGTAGAAATAAGGTTATACATTATTATATTATTATACACACGCCTATTTTGACATATTTATTTTATATTGTAAGGCCGATTAGTTAATGGCAAGGTCGATTACTCAGATTATAAACAGTTATTAAGGTCTATTTTGTGACTCAGTTTTCAGTTGGTAAGCATATTAGTAAAGTAGGCCTACCGGTTACAGTCAAAACGAAACAGAGGTATAGTAGAACTCCATTGGGACCAATTAAGGTGTCCCAGAATAGGGCTGTAGTGTTAAAATATATACTTTCCGCCGTTTCGTGGCCGAAAAATGTCCCCTTAATAGGGATGTCCCCTTAATAGGAGTGTCCCATTAATAGGGTGTCACATTAAGTAGGGGTGTCCCATTAATAGTGTGTCCCCTTAATAGGGGCGTCCACTTAACAGGGGTGTCCAAAAGAAGGGGGTATTTATTGAACAATTTTTGTATTACTGTATTTTTTACTTTGTTGTTGTATTATTATTGTTATTTCTCCTATTATAATTGTCGTTCTTGGCACTAGCATTTCTTTCGAAATTATATTAAAACGATAAAATGTAGGCCCATGTATTAAAATACTTGTGGTAAACCACGTAGATTATTCTGGAAAAAAAACTGTTGTTTTTGTTGAGAATGACTGACGTTTCGATTGAGTTGCTTCGCGTCATCAGAATGATGACGATAAGTATATCCATTCATTACATATTTGAATTTTTTACCAGAATTAATACTAAATATCTATTACATACTCATCTTGTGTGTTGTAACTTTCTGTCCGCACAGCCAGGCAACAAGTTCTTTGCCAATTTGCCAAAAGTGACTGATCAGAATGAGAGGCGGTGGGAAAAGAGGGCGCTCTCTAAACTCTAAGATGATTCTGTATCGTTGAAATTTCCAGATTTCCAATGCGTTTTGTTGCACCGAGATAAATGTATTGCTTTATGAAAGAAATGGTATATAATTGTAATTAACGGACAATAAAAATAACTATCACAGAGTTTACCACAGACTCATCAACGTAGAAGTGGATTCCACTGTATTTTTTTTTCATTGGGTTAAAGTATTAAATTATTAGGACCAAATCTATTAAATACTGGATTAACGTTCCTATTATAACTAATTATTCAACACATACTCCAGTGTATTAACAGGTGAGAATACCTCCACTGTTGGCCAGAACTACAACATAACCTACGACTTAAAAAAAAAACTCCACAACAGACTAAAAGAAAAGACGGTTTCCTCGAATGCAGAATACATTGCGTAAAGATAAATACAATATTCAAAATGCTTGGTAGGTGCATGCATTGTACTTTAAGAATATATAAAATTGGTCACGTGTAATATTATAATAATTAAAATATGATAATTACTATATTATTCTGTAATAATTTTTACAAAATCTTATTTTACTGATTTAATTTTTAATACAATTTTCAATGTTTTTAATCGTTTTCTGAATGTCTGTGCAATATGTGTATTGTTAATTATTAATTAATCCTTTGATATTTTTTATATTGCTATCCTTTGATGTTTTTATATTACTTTCCTTTGATGTTTTTATATTACTTTCCTTTGATGTTTTTATATTACTGTTCTGTATTATTGTAACTATCATTTAATTCAGTCCTCGACTGCGATTTTGATATTGAAAAAAATGAAATGAAATAATTAAATTAAATGAAATGTGCTTACAGTAAATGCAACCAATGTTAAAGACTCTTACTTAAATATAGCAATCAACATGTTGATGAGAAGAATGTTGGCAAACAGGAGATAGATAGCCATGATGAGAGGAACTAGCATCGAACCATTCTCACAAGTTTCAACGTCACAATCAGCTATTGGTCAAACAAATATCGAATAATTAATGTTTCTATTTATAGCGGCATGGATGTTGTTATTTGTTATTTTCTGCGAATAAATTGTAAGTTACACGCACATGACCACTCTGATCGTGTGCTATTTTTGTTACATTATTCCACCGCCACTATTCTTATCAACTTTATCATCAACGTGTCAGTAAAAGTAATTTTCAGAAACATGATGATGATGATGATGATGACGATAATGATTATGATGATGATAATGAAGAAGACGATGACAATGATGATGTTGTTGATGCTCATATATAGGCCTATTTAGATTGATAATCAAACGGTGGCACGTTACTTACGATTCCGTTCATCTAAGAAGAGCTCGCCATAGACATGCCAGTAAGGTTGGTAAAACACGTCCTTGATAACCTCAAAACTCATTACTCGTTGGTCGGGCTTCATAATACCATGACTTGCTACTCCATAGCTTGTGACGAACACACCCAGTATGATAGTGAATCGAACCATGTCAACTAACTGAAATCATAGTTATTATTAATAATATAATTTTATTGAAGGTAATAGGCCTATACGTTTCCTACAGCAGCGGTAGGTCAACATTTTGTGCTATTAGTCTCTATAACAAATGTATAAATGTTATCATAGATGAAATGTTAAGACTTATATTATTATATTCAAGTCTTTCCACATATTGCCCCCTATTTTCCAAATGCAGTCCTGCCAATTAACCGAAACGCATTAACGCGTTTCTTGTATTAGGAATGCTTTCTGAGAGAGCTCAAAATTCAGAGTGCCTAAAATAAGAATCAACAGCGCCACAAACGTTTCTGGAAAGTTTATACCACTCACCATTCGACCAATCATATTCACGTACGGTCCCATAAGCTTACTAACGCTGAGTACATCAAGCAGACGAATGTACCAAAAGATGATGTCAATGCAATATAATATGCGCCCGTTCTGAATAAGAAAATCGATCGCTTCTTCATCGTTTTGGGATATAATGTGCCGAGCTGCTATCCTCATGAAGAAACCGACAAAGAACAACAAGATACAAATGGCATCCCAGATATTCCATACATCAGATGACCAGCTCTTTAACTTGTACGTCCAATTCGCTGAAGAATCGCCTTGAGTTATTACCTTATATTGACATTAAAAAAAATCAATAGTAATAATAATATTAATAACAAAAATCAATAATAATAATAATAATAACAATAACTTTTTTTTCATTATTGTTTGAAAGCATCAAACAAGAGAAAATTTACCTGCCGTATCTCTTCAGCAGCCAATGAAAATACTAACACCATGACGACCCATTCGATGAGCGATAACCCCATCCATCCCATGTGCTCTTTCGGTATCTTTACAAGAACCATGTAGCTAAAAATTAGTAAGAAAGCTACGTACATCAACTGTATGAAAATATAAAATAAAACGAAAGTCACAACACGGATATTGTCTATTGTTGTTTATTTTATATAATCATCATCAATATTACCTTAAGAAATACTTTTTTTTGTAACGCAAAGTTTATCATTAATTGTATAAAACGAATAAATAAATAAAAATGCAACCATTAGAAAAAATATGCCTGCCACCACACGCACCGTACATACACCATAGAGATATAATAAGAATACTAGAGCGCTAACTGCAATGTATTCAATGTTCGAAATACGCAGAGCTGTGTGTGTGTACCCTCCAAGATGGCTGCCATAGATTTAGCCAATCAAATTTCGCCTAAGCGCCATCGTTTGCGCCCTCAATTTACTCAGAAAGTTCAGTACAGCTAGTTACCCGTATGTTTACACGATTTTAATTTTCATTCCTTGGTACTTTATTTTGAATAAGATGCTCCACTTGGCCTCGTTTTGTCTACGATAGTTTAATAATTTGTTATTACCATTACTCATCATTAATGAAATAATAGTCAGTCAGAGGGCTTATTTATGGTAATAATATGTATAATAAGCCTGAAGGTGGCGCTTTACTACGACGGCCATCTTGGATGGTACACATACATAACTCTGCATTGCTTCGCCATCTTGTCAGCACTCTAGTTGTTTAATAGCTCTATGACATACACAGAACATCTATGGCCAAACGGCATAAGCTGCAGCTCAAATAAGCCTATAAATACAAGAGATGTAACACCATACATTTCAATCCAAGTAGCTCTGTTTGATGGTTTATAGTGACAACTTCATGTGTCCAAAAGGAAATTAGTTGCGTTCACATAGCTCATAAAAATTAAAAGATTTGTATTTACTATTTGCTCCCGAGGATGTCGCCTTTGAAATATTTAGTAGGCCTAATAGCTGAGTAGACCGTATTCACAGGCACAGAGGGGCTGCGTAAACCTATTGTGTATAGCAGAGGTTTAGGATAATGAAAAGTAGTTTTAGAGGCAGCTAAATACGGGCGCGCACTGCGCCCTACGATCGTAGGTGATGCAGTGTGGGTCCGACGGGATGCTCGCAAGTACAAGACGAACTGACTTTGAATGAATGACGATGGATATAGGAGTATTATAGAGGATTTTAAATTCTTCTTATCGTTATCATTATCATCATCATTATCATTATCACCCATGCGGTTGGCACATCGTCTCTATGGCATAATCGTTGTGCTGCTGAAAAAGTATCATACATGTCATGTACAATACTTACAGTATTCGACCAGAATTTTACAATCGGCGCTGTATAAAACGCGTAGTAGCACTGACGAATCGACAAAGCTTGTTTTTCAACGGCGTCCGGCTCACTTGTTACTTCTCTCGGCGCAGTCTCGTATTCATTGCGTGACACCCCAATATCCGGCGAATCATTAACATCCTGAATACACAGAGAGAGCCAAAAATTATCTTCCTATTGATGTGATATATTCTATTTGGATATATTATTAGTATCGTTATTTGAAATAAAAATACACCTACCGTTAATCGGAACGCTTCGGCTATAATATCTTCCGTCGTTGGTTCCTCGGGAATTTCGTTGTATTTCTTTATGACGTCAACTTCCCGATAGGAGAGCATTGCAACTACAGGCGGGAATAGTAGACCCAATATCACCTGAAATCCAAACGCAATGTTGTAATAAAAAAAAATGAGAGTGTTATCAACTTAATCAGACACTGATCTAAACAATTAAGGTTTAGAGATATGTTTTACGTGTAGTAATCGAAGGCGTCTGTTCTGATTGGCTTCCAGTAATTTCGGGTGTCCCACAGGGATCCATTATGGGTCCACTACACTTTCTGTTATTTATTAATGACTTGCCAAGCTTTGCCCTGAATTCGAGCGTTGCATTATTCGCCGACGATGCTAAATGTTTCAAATCAATTGATACCGTTAATGATTGTTTCCAGCTCCAGTTGGACATTGACGCTCTTACTAGGTGGAGTAATATTTGGAAAATGAAATTCCATCCGTCAAAATGTCATATTTTATCTTTAACACGTTCTAGAAAACCTATAAAATATGTTTATACGATGAATGGCTGTATCCTTGACAGAACCCAAACTGTTAAGGATCTTGGGGTTGAAATAGCATCTAACCTGTGTTGGGATGATCATATTCACAAAATTGTTAAAAAATGTAACATGAAAATGGGTATAATAAAGCGTTCGGTAGGATTTAATGCACCAAAAAATGTTGCATTAACATTATTCAAAGCATTCGTCAGGAGTGATATTGAATATTGTAGTTCTCTTTGGAATGGGACTTCTAAATGCAATTTGCTTAAGATTGAAAGACTTCAACGTTGGGGAACCAAATTTATTCTTAACTATCGCGATACTGACTACAAACAAAGGCTCAGTGAGCTTAAACTGTTACCCCTGTCTTACAGAAGAGAAATTATTGATCTTAGGTTATTTCACAAGTGTATACATGGTTACTGTGACATACCCATTGAAGATTTTGTCACCTTTAATTCTCCTACCGAAGGTTGTCGAATAACTAGATCTGCCTCTGACCAGCATGTTCTCGTGCCTGTTAAGTGTAACACTGAATCCCATAAACGATCTTTTTTTTCAGAGAATTATCCCCATATGGAATCAGCTACCATACTATTTTAGGTCTACAACATATATTCCATTTTTCAAGAGGCACGTCCGTAATTTCTATAACAACAAATTTATCAACAATTTTGATCCCGCTGACACTTGCACGTGGGTCTCTTGTTGCCGCTGTGCGCTGTGCAGAAATTGCTGAGTGTGTGTCATGCCATTTGTGTGGGAATGGATATCCCCCTGATTATTTGAAACGTTGAAGTCTTCTGTGCAATCATTTAATGTATTTTTAAATAATTTCTGAATTACAATGTATGCAATATCTTTGTCATTTAATTTTTTAATTATGGAGTAATTTTGTTTTGAAATGTTTAAATTGTATTCATCCTGTTTAACTTTTTTGTGTAATATTTTGATGTTCTGGTTTAAATTTATTTTAATTCGATTTTTGTAAATTTTTTTGTTATTACTCTTCTGAGTGTCTTTTTTTTTCCTACTCTTTTATTAGCCTTTGTAAATAAACATTTAAATTAACAAATAATTAATAAATTTTAATGTACATTATACAATTCTATCTCTTTGTAAATAAATTTAAAATTAATGATAATTAATAATTTAAGCTATATTTTGTACTGTATGTTTAAATTTGTATATTTACTATTTTACTATTTTAATGTCCTGTATTTTCGCCTGTTCTCTTGTATATTTTGTGTGGTTCTGTAATCTGTTCAAGGGGGATGTAGATAGAGGTGCTTGACACCTGTTCATCCCCTCCTTTTCGCTGCTCTTTGTCTTGTTTTTGAATTGTTCTTGTATTTTTGCAGTGATGAAGTGTAATAAATAAATAAATAAATAAATATCATAGGAAGAACAGTATCCAATGAAACTTAACAATTGACCAATCAGAACATCGCTAAGTTTACGCACTTATCCTACAAACACACGCGTTGTCTCACACAAACGCACGAGTGGTATACGCATGCTTTCGTTTTGTGAGACCTTAGCAACAATATCCAAGGGGCGGGGCTTAGTGGAAAAGTCCACTGAAATCTGAAAGCTAATAACTTTAAAATATACAATACAAAGTAAATAATTCATTTTTAATGTTTATTAGCGCAACAGTAGCATATCGAAAACAAATTAAAAACTGTTCTTACTTGTCTATTTGAAATCATTTGTAATTTACCGATCCATTGGTCAGTAAGTAAAGCTTGAACGCACGGGTGACCAATCAGCTTGTTGTGATTCACTGCAGCAGCCAATGACATGATGGTTTCGTTGCTCCAGTTTTTCAATTCTACTAAGATAAGTTGACGTGTATATTCTCTGTTTTCTTCGAAACAGACTTGTAGCATATCGTAGGAAATCTTTTTGTAATGACTAAATACAAAAAAAAAAAAAAAAAAAAAATTAACAATATATTTTAAAAGAAGAAGAATCACTAACGAAGTAATAGAAAGACATTTTTTTTTTGGTCTGAAATAGGCTCAAAATACCATCTCTGGATTAGGGTAATAAGTAGGCGATACAGTAATATTTTGAGCAGTCGTAATTGCAACGATTTTAAACCTCGCGCTGTTGGTGTTACGTGAGTGAACCCACACTCATCTTCTGTCATGATATTGACATCATCATTATCACAATAAAAACCTTCACCCTACTCCTCTTATTGACTGTAATAAAGTTATTTATTGATTTCAATCTTACTTAGCCTGCGCATCCAACTTCTCGAAACTTCCCATGTCAAATTGTTCTGCGGCCACTTGTGACATGGCACTGTATAGGGCAACAGCGATGATGGATTTAGCCAGTGCTTCCGTACCCTGCTGCCACATTAGGTACGCCATTTCGTACTTCCTCGATAGTATTGCCCAGAGGAAAAGATCACTGAATGGCGTTGGAAAACGTGATCCGCAAAAGGTTTCGTCGGAATCCTACAGAATAATGATAAAAATCATTAAAGAAAAAAAAAAAAGAGAGAGAAAAAAATTGTCAGGCAATTACAAAATAATACATAAACATATACATAAAATGGGATATCCTACAAAACCATGTGATTTGAAATGGGTTACGAATAATTCGAATGATCACCGCCGGCGTACCTTTGCGCTTGGATTCCGTGATCGTCGTTTCTCACCCGCTTGACACCGACATCTCTGAAGTCTTTCTGTTGTGTAAGATGATTTGAAGGAGTTTCTGATCAATTCTTCCATCAGACGTCCGACGTGATGTAGGCATAATGCACCACTAGCTCGCTGAAACAGACATATGTGTTAGTCGAGTAGACGGTAAGTATTAAAGTTTGCATCTTTCAACGGTCAGTACATTTTAAATTTTATTAATTTAGTTAGTTCCTCTTTGATCTTTCGATAGGCCTAATAATCTGTATGGATTACGGTACTCTTGTAATAGTTTAGGTTGAATAAAGTGTACCTCAAGTTAATTTTCAGTGTGTTGAAGACCTAACCAAAATTGGTCATTTTAAACTATTTTTTGAGTACTATGTTCATACCTCGTTTAGTCGTAGCTTGATATTACTGTGGTCGTATAGTAACTTCAGCGCTGAATCTGGTGCATTCAACTATAAATAGGATATAATCACTATAATATTAATATAACACGGTATAAAAATAACAAGTAAAGTCGAAAAACAAATGTAAATTATTCATACACTTATAGCAGGGCGTGTATCTGATGTGGAGTTTTCGAATTAGCTATTTGTATAAACTTACGGAAAGTTCGTAAAGCTTCAATAGATTATCTTCAGTCAAAAATGTATGCATACTGACTCCATTCTCGAGCAGTAATTTTACAAACTTTGGTTTGCCGTCACGAAGAGCTTGGAACATAGCCTCGTTTAAAAAATCCTCCTACAAAAGGCGAGAAAAAGTTTATAAAGTCATGTTGCTGGTGGAACATTTCATCCGTCGAGCATCAAGTGCAACAAACTCACCAAATGTGATATTATCTGGAAATAATTTGGGGAGGGGTTGATTTTTACTCTTACCGTGATTGCATTATCGAGTTTGAATATTTTCTCCTTGGCGATGTCCACTCTGTTCCAAATCAACGCAAGCTGGAGTTGGTCATTAGCAGGTAAATTATTGGCTGTAAAATATTGTAAATATTGCAAAGAGTTTCAGGACAATAATAATGACAGTGAAAAGAAAAGTATCTTTAGTGTTAATATTACTATGATCTTTTTTGTCTTAAATTTGCTTTAATTAACTGTTGGAGAATTGTATTATGTCGAGGAAACTAATTAGATGCATAAATCAGATGATTTTCTGGAACAATAAACCATAGGCCTATGTATTAATAAAATGACTGCTATAAATGTTTTGTTCCAGCAATTAACCTTATTATTAACTATATATAAAGAAATATACAGCCAAGTTATCAGTAAATATTGTGGATATAATGGCTACTTTGGGAGGTAAACGAAACGGTGATTGTCAATCAATTTTTATTTTGCAAAACCTTGATACATTTGGAGCATTTCTTACCCTTTACAAGCGCTTGGAGTATTGTGTGGTCAAGACCTTCAGCACAAACTTCAGAATCAACTGAAAAGACTGTTAACTGCAAAACAAATCAGTTTATCACAACATATCTTCGTGCCCAGTGGCGCATCATCATCGCAGCACATCCTGCTAACCCTCCTCTGGATATGGCCCTATTTTAGCTGTCGCTGACGCTGTCGTCACCTCCATTCCGATACCGTCGCTCCCCTTTCCGGAATCGTCACTGCAATCTTCTTCATTGTAATCGTCAGCACCATCATGTAATTATCGTTATTTATGTCATTTATCATTATCATCATCCTCATCACCACCACCACTATCATCATCATCAAAATCATTATTTTAATCGTGATATCATTTTCGTTATCCTAATCAATAATGATCAGTAGGTCTACTATTTAATACTAGACCTACTCTGTAAAAATGTATTTCTTCTTTACCCTGGGTGACCTGATCAGAGCATAAAAGCATTGTTGTCCTCCAGGGCCCAATATTCAGTTTATTGCAATATTTATTATTTTATTTAATTTTATAAAAATATTATCAAAATTAAGTTAAAAGATTAATATTTCACCATGAATGCTTACTAATTCTCTTTTCGTTACAATCTCCATTATATTCTCCATCGTACTCTGAACGTCATCCTTCGCTACCACTTCTTTTATTCGATTCATTAGTTTACTCTTGTTCTCTTTTGACATTTCCCTGAAAAATTGATATTATACAATGAATAGACTGTTGATCGTGGAGTATCATAACAATATCAACATATGATGTAATGCAAAAATAATAAATAAAAAATAAATACATTTTCTGGTGAGGAAGTACCGGCATACAATACAATATTTATCTGATAACAGTGGCACACGTTCGACAATACCTAACAGTGTATCCAAAGATAAACAAACATAGGCCTATATAATAAATAAAAAAAGCAACACATCCTATACAATAAAATTCTAAACCAAATAAAAAGAGATTTGTATATTGCTCATAACAAAAATCTACTTGTTATTACTCTTTAGTAGTGCAGAACATAAAATGTAATGCTGATTTTTAAAATAAAGGAGATTGTGGTCAGATTTTAGATTCAGTGTACATCCAGTCCTCGTTTCAATCATTAAATATATACATCCATAAAGTGCCTATTCTGTGGTTTGCTAATAGTAGTGTCATCAGAGTTGTAATATCCATACGCATACATTGACTGTTTAAATGTCGTACGGGTATGCAAATTTAAATAGGCCTACCACAAAATAGGCCATACTCACTTATTTTGTTTAGTAACTGAATACGCAAAGGCGAGCACGTCGGCTGCGCGCCCACTGCCCTCAGCTATGACCACAGGGATGGGTGGATCTGACGTAACATTCTCAAATACAACTTGGATTGTATTTCTACCGCCTTCTAGTACTATACAAACTGCCGGAATACACCGTTCTCCTACACAAAGTAAAACAAGGCAATGAATCTTTCCTAGTTGAACCAATAAACACAGATAATATCATTATCCGTTCCAAAATGCAAAAATCAGTCGGTATTAGTAGCAATTACTATAAAATAACCAGACATAACCGAGTCATAATTATAGGCCTCAATGTGCACCCAGCAAATAACGTTACGTTATAACGTTGTAGCATTCAAACAGTAATTTGTGACTAAATAACGTTTTCCTCATTTACTTAAATCACAACATTCATAAATGTTTATAATAACGCTGGGCGTCTAGGCCTATATAACATTGTTGCACATGCATATTTAAAATTCCGTAAAGTTAGTTGGATCCTTATATTAAGTTCAATTTTTTGTTGTTACGGGACTTGTAATAAAGCAGAATCGAAGTTGTTAAAATCCTAAACGTTCACAAGATTAAAGCTTGGCATGCACACAGTACTGTACTTTTCCGGAATTTTACAAAGAGTAGATTCTCTTTCATGGCAAATGCATTTCCTTAGAGAAAGCCCAATACGGTACCCAACACACGTAATGCCAAGTGCTGAACCAATCTCCTTACATTTAGTCAAGTTAGTTCTTGTGTGTTAGATCATCGAGATGCACGCCACGTACCCACAATGCAACATTCTTTTAGTAGTATTCTGGTATAATACTACCTTCATCCAAAGTTTGTTTGGAGATCAGCTTTTCTAGTTTGGATCGTAGTGTAATTTCAACGCCATATTGCTTCACTGTGCCGTTATCCACTAGGATGAAATGACTATGATTCGGATCCAGTGAGGCACCAGCGCTCATAGACGAACTGGTTACACGGTAATATTTTACCCCCTTTTAAAAAATTGAGGAAAATTATAATACCACGTGTATAACTTGGTGAGAAACATCACAGGGGAAAATGTATACGATAGATAACACAATGTAGGCTTATAATATCGCAAATTCAGAGCCAGTCTATCAGAAGTCTTACAATGTAATATTGTTCTTATATGGAAGAAGAAGAATGTGATAATCTGTAAACTTAAAATCAGAAAATACTTAAAATAAAATAGATAACATTTCCAGTGAATCACGGTACCTCTTGGTATTCAGATGCCCTCTTTAGCAGGCAGTGTTTCTGTCCAAGCTCTGGTAGCACGTTATGGGCACGGCTATGAGCCCTGCTGGTCCTGGGCTTGAATGACTAAACATTAGGAATAATTACAACCTCAGAGGCACATTAAAACATTTTTTGATAATGCCTAATAATATTAATAAATAATCATAATATCAATAATATAATAATATATAACAATATATAATAAGATTAACTTTAATTAATTCATTAAATGTTATATGTATGTATGTTTTATATTGATGTTATACTTACCTCTGCTACAATTAAGTCCTCTCTATGATCCACAATTCCCCAGGAAGCAACACCAATGGCAACAATCTTCTTTTGAGATTTGAGAGAATGTTCACGAATTGCCTTCCCGACGTACTTCATGACACCTACATAAAAATTATTTAAAAAACAAGAACATACATTTTTAGGCTCTGCTTCATCAATACCATTACTTATTTTCCAGTTCTTGATAAACTCATAGGCCTATCGGGACGAGATACCGTCGTCTTAACACGAGCAAATAGAAACCTAGCTAAAAATATGTACAACGACGCAGGCAGTAAAGATACGTATATTGATGCCACAACTTACAAAATTACAAAAAAGGTTAAATAGCAACACACCTGTATTTGTTCCACCTGTGAGGATCCAAGCATCCGCTGTCACGGCCACTCGAATTATGCCATCGTAAAAGATTCGCTTTAATTTCGGATTCAGGACGAAATCTTTCGCTCCTCCAGTGACTTCAATCAGGAGTTTCGGTAATTTTAAATTCCAGAGATTTGTCAAGAGTTTGAGAACGTCACTTTCAGATGTATCATCCGATAACCTAACGTACTGGATCAAATGTAATATTGATGCTTTCATTTATGTAATAATAATCGTTAGTGTCATGGATTACATAGAGGCCTACGTTTATATAATTATTGATCGAGTAGAGCCGAGCGTTTGGCCGGGGCAAAGTTCCTGCTTCTTGTAACGAAGACCCGGTTCAAACCCAACCAGCGTCGGTTTATGAGGCGTCTGAAAGCTCGGCTCTTCGAATAACCCTCACATGAATAAGGAACAAGAGACAAGGTATCCGTTACCCGTCGGTACTTGGACGTGTAGGCCTGCTCTTTCTTGCCTTGCCTTGGTGCAATTCAAATAGGAAAGGCAGATTCAATTTTTTGCAGGGAGGGAATTCGTAGTTGCTGAAAGCTCTAACGACGTTGCGTTGCGACAAATGTTCACTTGCATGTTTTGGGGGGAGGAGGTTGGGAGGTGGGGAAAGCATGCTTAAACATTTATGTAGTGGTTTGTTAACGTAGAAAACAAACTGGGCCTGCAGAAAATACAATACGGTACCTTAGCCCGACTTGTGTTGAAAACTCCCTGGAACTCCATCACACCAAAAGCATTTGTGGGAAATTTTTGAGTATGTGTTGCTGATGACCAAGACTGGAACCAAGGCTGTTGACCTTCGAGTTCACCTTCTTCAGCAATCCGTTGTGAGTATATTTGGTGATCGACCACTAAACGACCACATTGGCAACTGATAATAAATAAATTTAAGAAGTTAAATATAAAATAATTAACACAGAAAGAAATCTCTAATAATGATGATGATAATGATGATTATGTTGATTATGATGATGATGTTAAGGATGATGACGATATACTTTGTCCTTAATAAAATAGTTATGATAATATGCATGATAATGAATTCATGTTATAAAAATAATGCTATACTCTGTTTATAACTTACCAGTCTTGATTTGGTGGTTTCTTTGGACAAATTGAGATGCATTCTTTTGCACTGAAAGATTCGGCAATCGAACGCCATTTTCGATTTAGCTAAATAAAATATAAAACAATGATGAATGTATTCATATTTAATAACATTAATATTCATACCAACAATAAACAATTAAGTTAAAACAATGATGCAAAGATGAAAAAAGAATAAATAAAGAAAAACAAGAATTTTTTAGTGCACTTTTTGAGCACCAAATTTTATCTGGGGTGTGCGCATAATTTTTTTAAATTATCCTAATTTATTATTTTAAATAGTTAAAGTATTGTGAATGGGCTATCGTCCTCATCAGTGGGATTGAGAATTTCGGCATCACCGAATACCCTACTTTCCTCTACCCTTCACGGGCCATATTGCCTCGTTCATTACCGAAAAGGGGAAATTACACAGGAACTCGACACGACTTGAAATCTGTATAGCAACCTTGAGCAGATATAGCAATGCGCGCGACTAAAAACGAAAAGCAGCAACAAATAAAATAGTCGGAGCATGGATGATTAGCCGACTTATAGTTTAAACAAAGATTTAATAGCAATCTGCATAACTCTGCTGAAATTTTGTATGACGGGATGCTATTTAATAAATTCAATGATTATTGCAAAATATTTCATGATTAAACTCTGAAGATAAAACAATTTCACTTGCACATGCGCATCAGACTAGCATTTATCATCATCGCTTTAAATACTAATATGACAACATGTCCATGATTGCCTTGACATAACATAAAATGAGATTGCCATATTTGGAGTAGCCTTACTTGTTACTAGTTATTACTGTATAGAGGAGGATTTACTTTCGGTTATGAAGTTCTATTCTATCTATTCCTGGTTATTAGGCTTAACTGTTGCTACAACTCAAGCAAGTACCGTAACCGTTCTACCTGTGTGGAGAGAAGCAATGCAGATAATTCAAAGATACACATAAAGTGCCTTGCTCAAGTAGCAGTTAATAATCTGAACAATCACGATTGTATCCTAATAGGCCTACCCGTCAAGCTAGGCCAATATGATGACTTGGCCTGATTTATAACGGTAATAAGAAGGCCTACGTTGACAGCAAGCCACGTCATTCTAGTTAAATTTTGCTGTCAGACTAATCTTCAGTTCTTCCAAAAATTCAAATTCAAACAAAAAATGCCTCTTCTTAAACGTTAGACACACTGATATAGTCGTGATTACATTTATTTATTTTATTTGAAAGTGTCAAAGCATGAATATGGTAACGGTCTAAATCAAATAATAAAATAAATAAACTTGGAATTCCGGTGCCAAAAGATTAGCACCCCGACATTTTGATGGAGCCTTTATAAGACCTAAATCAATATTCTAAAAATGCAATCCTGCAGAAACAATCTTAAATCATGTAGTCAGGATTATCCATACTTGTAAGTAAAAAAATACTGTAATAATGAATGTAGCAAGAATTGCTTAAAAACTGTCGATTTAATCTAAACATTCTCAACTTTTCATAACATCAATACTAAAATAATTAAAAGATATCACATACCTTTTCGGTGTCCTCTGAAACACTAACACCTCTGTGGTACTTCATTATGATGACAGTGTCCCTTCCACAAGCCAATGCCTTGCCGGGGTCTTTGCTTACCGTGTAAGGTAAACGACCAGTCTGTTAATTCTGCGTAACTTCTGCAGATTACGTCGCACAAATATAAGATGTCTACGAAAATACTGATAATGTTTTAGGAACGCTTAAATTATTCGTGTAAAACATACACAGAACCTGGATCGATTGAGATATTACTACTTTTTGCAAGAACTTTAACAGGATGTCATTATGTGGCGAGGGAACGCAACATCCTGCCACGGTCACAGAACTTGCAACTTCGAAATATTGTTTGATACATGAGTCATCTTTGTTGTTGTAGAATGACACATATTTTAGGATTTGCCAATTAATTCCAATTTATTTGATTTTGATGATCACATCGAAAACTAATAACAAAATAATTACAAGAATAATATTTTAGGCCTAAGATTCACACACTTTATTAGTACAGCATTATTAAGTTTTTTAAGTGAATCGAAGTCATTATACTTTTATTTACTCAACAAAAATATTACACTTATTTGAACAAACAAAAAAACATTTTTGTTCCACTTTATATCAAAGATATTTTATTGCTGAATTTTGAAATCACTTGATCAAGATCAATTCTCAATCAATCCATTTATCCAATTATTGTTTTACTTAACAATACAGAAACAATGAATTACAGCATCATTTACTGTAAGTCTTAGTTCGTTATAACTTCTAAACTTATTCATTATTATTAATTGCGTTTTTTTAGGTGTATATATAATCCTTTTATAATTATTCAGTACTGCGTTTTATTATATAGTTCCGTATTTCAGTCGGTAGCATTTAAAAGTATGTATCAAGCCTAAACGTTGATTCTGCGCAAACGAACTATAGAGTATGTATTGACTCGATATTGTACAGTGCATTCAATTGAATTGCACAACGTACGGTAACATCTGATCAACCCTGAAACGTAGGCCTACGGTAACATAAAGCTGATCAACCTTGCATTTTCAAAATAAGTTAATGTTAATAGAATTTTCCAAGAATTCCGACAGTATTTGCCAACATTTAGAAATAATGTAGTAGACACATAGCTCGTGTTTATGTGTTTTTTTTTTAACCTGAACTGAATTGCTTTATTTGTCCATCATAACCTCAAAACGAAACTCTCGTGAGTGGTTGTCTGAAACTATTTTTGAGTTCAACGTCCCAAATTATTTCTCCTCCTACTTATTCAATTTACGCGAATTTTTTTAAAAATAGTTTTTAATAATTTAAAACGTTACTTGATTTTTTCTGCCCTGTTCAGACTTTTCGAATAGTACACCGAGATAACGACTACTTACTAATTAGGCCTATAATACTGATCATATATATTTTAATCTAAATTTGTTAACTATTTTGTTTCTTTAAAAGAAAAACGAACTTCATTGTTACTATTGAATTTGTAACGATCGGTCTTTATGTTTATCAACCCGAACCTATGTTCCTTAACACAATAATACTCGCTTTAGCCGTAGGCCCTAATAACATTACGAGTTTCCC